ATTGAAATCCCAGTTTCCTGATCAAATGTATTACCTTAAGCTCTCTGTGCTTCAGTTTCCTCCCTTATAAAGTGGGGAAAATATGAATAGAACCCACCTCTTATATTACCTAAAGGGTTTGCACAAAGTGAGGGCTCAGTAATTGAACTCTTAGGGCCTCCCTGGTGGTGCAGCAGTTAAGGATACAACATCATCAAGCTATTGCCAGCCACTGCAACATAAGTTCGATCACTGGCCAAGGAGAAACTCCACATGGTAAAGCAGACCTCACCTGCCTGGCCTGCTGCCCCTCTCTCTCAGTGTTTCTTAGTAGATTCATCTGTTCTGTTCTCCACTCTGTCTTTGGTGAAGCCTTTCATCCCCAGACCTATAGCCTACATCCCAATTCTTGAATACAGAAGTAAATAAATTTTTTTTAAATATCATAATAGTTTAACTATTAGTATTACCAAAGGGTGAAAGAGCTAGGCAGTGCTGTTTGTTTATAATTCAGATTGAAGAGCGGTTTTCACTTATGAATGCATGGGACAATAATGTTTATGAAGTATTTAGATATCCCAAATAGCAATTTGGGATTACGTAAAAAGTATATTAGGTCTATTAATAATCAGACATCTAGGTGAAAGATCACAGTGGAGTAGATGTCATTGTAACACAAACTAGACCAAAGTTCAGAGCTAAGTTATTCATTTGTCATAAAACCAGTAAGCCTTTTAACACTACCATGTGAATGTAAAATCTGAGAAAATGACTCAACTCTAGAACAAAGTTAGTCCCATGCACAATGAAAAGTTGCACAAGACAGAAAATGATGAGTGTCAAGGGTCACGTATAAGGAGGCAATCCATTGTTCAAAATATTGGGTGTGCAATCATTCTTTCAGAAGTTACACCATCATCTCTCTTTGGAAAGGTTTTCCAGGGCCTCCCTGGTGACTAGAGGTTAAGTCTCAGCACTTTCACTGCTACAGCCCAAGTTCGATCCCCAGCCAGGGAGCAGCACGTATGGCGCAGTAGACCTCTCCTGTCTCACCTGCTGCTCCCCTTAGCAGTGTATTTCACTAGAACTATTCTGCTCCTCTTTCTGTCTCTGGTGAATCCTCTCACACCCCATACCTCTGGCCTATACCCCGGTTATTGTATGCATAAAAAATAAATCTTTATAAAAATTTTT